CTTCAGCCCATCAGTTTATCAGTCCTTCAGCCCATCAGTTCTTCAGCCCATCAGTCCTTCAGCTTATCAGTCCATCAGCCCTTCAGTCCATCAGTCCTTCAGCCCATCAGCCCTTCAGTCCATCAATCCGTCAGTCTATCAGTCCTTCAGTCCTTCAGCCCATGAGCCCTTCAGTCCATCAGTCCTTCAGCCCATCAGTCCTTCAGCCCATCAGTCCTTCAGTCCGTCAGTCTATCAGCCCTTCAGTCCATCAGTCCTTCAGCCCATCAGCCCTTCAGTCCATCAGTCTTTCAGCCAATCAGTCCTTCAATCCATTAGTCCTTCAGTCCATTAGTCCTTCAGCTTATCAGTCCTTCAGCCATCAGTCCATCAGTCTGTCACATAAATGCATTTACAAAGTCAGTGCATAATTGTTAAAAATTCTGATTTACAATGATTTATTTTGTTTATTTTACATGTATTTGTATTTGTTTTTAATTTGATTGCCTGCTATTTCAGTTTAAATAATCTGTTGCAAATTTCAAAGTTTTTTTTAGTTCAGTATAGAGATATTTCCAAGGTCATTGCATAACCATGTTAAATAATAATTTTCATTGATTTACAATTATATTTTTTATTTATCTTGTTTTATAAATTGTTTTTCAGAATTAGATTCAGAATTATATTTAAAAAACTGTAAAAATGTCTTATTTCAAAAGTTTATTTTTAATTTCAATAACTTAAAATATTTCCAATACAAAACCATGTTTAATAACATTGTTGAAATGGTTTTTAAAATGTAAAAGTTCAGTAAATGCATGTTTCCAAAGTTACTACATAATCATTTAATCATTTTATGATCTCAGTATTGACCATAATACTAATATTTTTGTGATAATCCAGCATAATATCTCTAATCTGAACACTTGAACACTTCTTAAAGATCTCTGCATGTCATTCTTCATACAGAAAGATGCTCAAACTCACTTGATGTTTTAGCAGTGATGTTCTCATTCGACTCGTACCGTAAAATCAATCGTTCATTCAATCGTTTTGGGGTTTAAAATGAATCAGGACTCAGAAACTCATCAAGCATCTACAGATGACGTGTTTTTTGTGATTCTCTTTCAGTCTGGTCAGTGTGTGCTGATTTCCCAGCAGTCTTTGGAGGTGAGT